AGAGAAGTTGAGATTCTCATATTTGATGATGGAAACCGTCAGAGATTGGACATTTTTCCTTGATTTTGTTGACGATGTATCTGTCATGGTGTTACAAAGTGGATAAATGATTACTTATATCTGTGAGCTGTGTGTCTATGAAGCAGTAAAGCTTTGTCTGTGTATAACTGTAAACGTGATGTCAGGTTTCTGAGGAAGAAGTTTTAGAAGTGGAGCTGTTTACCTTGATTTGGCACCAACGTCTCTAAACGGACGTGTATCTGTGCCCCACCACTGCTCTGGCTCAATGCTTTAATAACCTTGGGAATCCCCTACTGATGCTGTTCATAATGTGCCCACACACCCTTTATTTGATAAAACAAACAGCAGCACCAGGAGATGAGATTGTGCCTCTCAGCATGAACACTATCAGAGTTAGAAAAAAGTGTAGGACGTCAACAAAGCTTTCACTTTGTGTGTGTGTGCCTGTGTTTGAGTTTTCAGGTTCAGACTTTTGAAGCACATTCCAAAACCAGTAATTGATTTTTCTTCTTTTTCAAAAAGAAATTAAAAAGTGTTGACAGCAGTTGAGGGTTGACATCACTGAGACTCTCAAGGATATTACTACCCATCCCTACACTTTGGCTTGGATCTGTGGAGACTTGTCATGCCAGGTGCAATTTCTGGATAAAAATCAAACATTTCATGTCGATTGAAAAGATTATTGACTGGGTTTAGGGTTATCACAGGAAGAAAATCAGAGGAGTCATAAGCCTCTCCCAACATCTTTATTGCAGGAACAAAGCAGGAATCAAATCATCTAAATTGCAGATACAGAATATTGGAATCTCATGATTGCAAACTGAAAAGATTGTAAAAGTGTACCAGTGATGTACATTGTGGTAGCCTGTTAGAAATACACTAGGTAAATGATCCACGCAGCTGCACTGTATCCCAGAACAGTCCAGTATAGTTACACTGTCTGTGCATCAAGGTTTTTATTTATAAGATAATCCAGCCAGAGAAAACATTTCAGGAACAGCTTGTTAGCCCAGTAAAATGGCCTGTCAGCCATTAGCCAGCGGCCAATGGACAATGTAATATTGGAATTTTTGAAACCCAAGCCTTTTTGTGCATCCGCTTCTCTGGAGTGTATTCCTGTGGAGAGTGGAGATGGCTCTCGGCTCCCACTCTTTTTTTGTTGCTAATGGACAGAGTGTTATGCAGGAGAATACCTCCTCCCACCAACCACATCCTGCCACTGAGAGGTTCATTATTGGAGCAAATGCCCCGTGTCTTTTCTCCACAGCGACATTTGTAATGTTTTAAAAACCCAGGAGACAAGACCCTCTTATGTAAGTGTCACATTTAAAGCCACAAATACAAAGAAATACATCAAGTTGAGTCTCTATTGTGTGAGACATCCCACGTACTCACAGTTTTTTGCTCTAAAGTAGACATAAATATTCAATGTGAAATACAAAATTAAATTTTTTATCTAGTGATTATGAATCTTGGTATTTTCAGTTAGATGGCTGTAAGTTGTGTAGCAGGTTCAAGTCTTTGTCCTGAGATATTTTATGATTCTGTAAATTTGGATCTTATATTTGCAGAAGCACCAAATGCTTTTCCATAACGATGATGTTTAATGTATCCTCATCATGTTGCTAAACTACTCTGTGATGAACAGCCCCAGACATTTCATTTGTGTTCCACAGAACCAGACTCCCCTTTGTCAGCGTGAGTGTTTCACACAGCTTTTAGGGAGCAGGCTGTTTCTCATCCCGAAACAAAACGGAGGACACATTTGGACAGAATGTCCCTGTCATCTGCTAATGCTTTTCAGTGTCTCGCGAGTGAGAGACACTTCTCTTGAAAAGGGTGGCGGTGAAAATTCCAGGAAAGAGACGATGGAGCTGTGAATTGGCAGAGCCAGAGAAGAGGGACTTGTGGCAGTGATCTCAGTTACTGTAAGAGGTTGTGTAGGTGTAGATTGACTTGGTGTGGTTTGAGTGTTCTGGTACAAAGGAACAGAAACCGCTGCAGCTATTGTGACCAAGGACAGAGATGCATTCATGTCACAGGAAACTGTCACAGTTTACTATTGTTACTTCTGTTGAAGTCCACCCATGCAACTCATTTGGCCTCTTTATTATTATTATTATTATTATTGCACAATGTTGGCCGAAATCTTTCCAGGTTTTTTATTGTAGTTCATCGAAATAAGCATGAAAACAACACTGAGGTATTTGATAAAGTGAAAGTTAGAAACATTTAAGGGTTTAAACCCACAGCTCTCTAAATAGTTCCTGATGTTATTTAAGTGAGAACGTGACTGGAAACATTTGAACTTAAATTACGTTTTTTTAAATCTATATTCAGGTTTGAAGTTTACTTGAGGTACAGACAGATCAGTCAGTGTGACTTCAGGAAACTTTCTAAAAGGCCAAGGTTGAGTCTGGTTTTCTTTGTCTGATGTTTATTACTTATTTTTAAGTCTTTAATTAGCACCACTGGTGAAAAAGTCCTTATATCAACTATCACCATCCAAATCCATGTGATATCAACTGTATCAATCATTTTATTATTTTTGTACAAAAAACTGTTAGAATTGTCAAAGAAATTATTGAACCGACGACAGCAGACTTCTAGCGACTTCCCTCAGATAATTTTGGGAACATGCCGTCCCCCATCACTGTTAAAGGAGACATATTCTTTTCATTCAGTTTCATGATTTTAATCTGCCTGCTTTGATATTAAGAAAAGTATCAGTTTCCCCCGTACTGTCCATTGCTGCAGCTCCTCTTTTCTGCCACTGTCTGAAACTATAAAGCCCAGTTTGCTCTGATTTGCCTGCTGGCCAACTCTGTTGATGGTCAACGGCTTCCAGCGTGCATGGTGGAAATGTCAACTTCCACTCTGTTACCTGGTTCCAGAAGTACAGAAGTATCTGTCGGATCTACCAACAATGCCTTTCAGGAGCTTCAGTGTTTTCTGTGGGGGAAAGAAGGAGCCCCTGTTTCAGCTGACTTTAACTTTGCAGAGCTTTTACTCAGTAATACACTGGAAGAAAGAAAAATGGAAAAAGCATAATATGTCCCCTTTAAACTTTCCAAATTTTTCCTAACCCTCAACCAGTGTGGTGTCAGCTGTATAACATGACTGCCGTGGCATGTCAAGTAAATGCGGTTTGAATAACTTGGTACATTATGTCACAACAGCCGAATGGAAAAGCCTGTGTAAATGTTCCTTCGCTGACCGTGCTCACCCTGAATGTGTCTGCAGGCACGTAGCCCCGATGTATGTCTTTAAAGATGATGAACGCTCCACAGGGGCCTCGAGTCCCCAGCTACTAAACCCACACACTGTGTAAAACATTGTGGATGAGCTGCAGCTGCTGAATATAGGTCAGTAATAATATCAAAGTGTGACTCAGAGAATCCACAGCTCCCACTGGATTTGTTCAAACTGCACAGAGAGAAGAGAGTACCCTCTACAATAACGAGCATAATTATTCTACACAATTTTCCCACGTGTGTTTGTCTGCAGCAGAACAGCAGGCAGATCTCAGATGACTGTATATTTTGAAGTTTTCGATTTTTTAACTGCCCTTTGCCTCTCTGCTATCCCCTCATGTGTTTTTTAGCAAGCAGCATTTACCATTAATATTTAATCAACAGGTTACTTTTAGCTGGGCCAGTGCTAAGAATAATCCCATTTCTGTGTGTGTGAGTGTGTGTCTGTGTGTCTGTGTTCTTAATTATTCATGAGAAACAATGCTCCACCAGCTGTTAGTCAGAATATTTTCTTCTTTCTTAAAAACAGTACAGCCAGTGGCCACAATAGATTTGATAAAAATCGCACCAACAGGAGCACAGTAAGAAAACATCACACTCTGACCTATTTGCTTCTTATTTGTTCCATTTTCACTTGAGGGGAAAAAGCTAAATAACACATTTATGCTCAAACCACATGTTGTTCAGTAGACGATCATCAGCTCAGTGACTGAAGGAGAGAGCATTTGTTTTTCTGGATGCAACAGAACGGTTCCAGCTTTTGGGCAAGTGAACTGGCCCCTAACCAAACCCCCTGCCCCCCCTTTGTCTGAAAACTCCTCTGCTGAAGCTCAGTATTCTTTGAACATCTTGTCCCAGTTATACACACATGTTTAGTATATCCGGTAAGTGACATTGCATCATCTGTTTTTTAGAGGTGGAAAATATTTAAGATAAACTCATATCTCTGGAGTAACATTATCTATGATTTGTTCAAGAAATTTCAAATCAGGACCACATTTTACATTAAAAAGATTTTCATACATTCTAAATATATATCAGAATGATCTAATAGATTGGCTGCCATCAATATAAAACCAGTGCTATATCAAACTACATTAAAACCTGTCTTGCCTGGAAAACCTTAGGAAATAAGACAATCTCACAAAATCCCTCATTAAGTCTTACTTGTCTGTACCTACATCAAATCCATGCATCTGAATGTTTGTTAGAAGAAGCTCTGTGTTTTGTAGCCACTTCAGAGTTGGTGTTTTGGCAGAGCATGGTGGTGAGTTGGCACAAGCCTTCCACGGTCCCAGCTCCCTTACTGTTTTGGCCTCGGTGTTGTTTGTTCAGCAAACGAGGCAAACAGAGATTCCCTTCACTTGTCTAAGCACAGGGCAGCCCCAGATAAATTCACCCATATGTCATTTTACCATCGGAGCACAGCTTCTTAAAAGAGAACAGGGATGAGTCAGGAAGCTTATACTGGCTCAACTAAGATTGTGGTGGAAAATACATCACTCATGGTTCCTGACTTTTCAGCAACTACAATTTCTGGATACTAAATATTTATGCAGAATATATTATATAGTGTAGAAGTATCTTCTACATGAGATTTTGTGCTCTGTGCTTTATTACCTATTTTACTTGTGGTTGAGCTCTGCACAAATGTACTTTCCCATTGCATAAGCCAATCTCATTTACTAATTTACTTTGTTAGGAAAGTTGATTAGCAAATTACTAATTAGTAGATTTACTTCTCACTCATTAGTTTTCTGACATGAACTCAAACATCAACACGAGTTTGCTTTTCACATATGAAGAACACAACAGATTAATTAACAACAACAGGATAGCCCTTATTGCCATTGTGTTCTCACATTCTCTCTGACATTATCCAGAGATTTTACTGGCAGGAATAAAAAACAGAGAATATCCAAAGCAACTGACTTTGACAGCCCCTGAAATTATCTGGAGTTGAGTGCATGACTTAAAATCAGCTTTGTGGACTAAGACTACAGTGTGCACCTCTTTCCCTCTTCCTGCAGACACACCTTCTGGCAGTACCGTAAGGAGAACCCGCAGACCAGAGTTGGCGACCCTCCTCCTGACGGCCTCCCGGGCTTCAACAGTGGCGTGATGTTATTGGACCTGGGAGCGATGAGGGCCTCAGCTCTCTACAACCAGCTGTTAGAGCCCAGTAATGTGGCCAAACTGGCCGACCAGTATCGCTTCAGGGGCCACCTCGGTGACCAGGACTTCTTCACCATGATCGGCATGGAGCACCCTGAACTGTTTTATTCCCTGACCTGTGGCTGGAACAGACAGCTGTGCACCTGGTGGAGGGACCACGGTTACGGAGACGTGTTTCAACTGTATTATCGCTGTGAAGGACCTGTTTACATCTACCATGGTAACTGTAACTCCCCCATTCCAGATGACTGATCTCTGTGCTGCACTGCTGCTGGAAGAGACACCTTTTCCTGCTTGTTGGGAGTAAATATCGTGACTTATTCTTTTCCTTTCCTGACCGCGCGCCTGTAGCCACAGACTCTGCCTCCTGCTGGTCAAGGGGCTGGTGAAGCTCACACTTACTACAAGTATGGCGTTCATCTGTGTCAACGGCTTTGGAGTTGCAGCAAAGCAGAGGGCTGCACTTACCTGTGGTACAAAGATGAAGAAATATAATCTGTGAATTTGAGTTTCAGTCACAGATCCATTGACAGGAAGACGTATCAGTTACTGGAATATCTGTGACGGGCTAAAGATGCACTTTGCAGGGTATTTCATTGTGGTTGTCAGAGCGAGCTGCATTGGCAATGTGTCAGTGTTGCCCTCATTCAAATGATGGTGGAGTCATCGTCGAATTTCCTGTTGTTTTAATTGCTTTCATTAAATTGGTGCTTTGGTTGAGAAAAGTCTAAAAGACAACTATCCTTTAGATTAGATCAATGAAATAAAGAATCAACTATTTTGTAGTTTTATTCAATTAAATGTGATCATTATTAAATGATCATTTGCTGTAGTGTCTCAATTGTGAGTATTTAATACTGAATAAAACAAGACGTTACCTTGGGCTCTAGAATATTCAACTTTCACACAGTTTTCTGATATATTGTAGACAAAATAATTCACCAATAAATCAAGAAAATAATCAGAGGATTAAATACATGATGAAAATTATTTTCAGCTGTCGCCCTAATTGCCAACAAATGTTGAAATATTAGTATGAAATATAATCTGCAAATGTGTCAGTCGCCACCTACAAACAGGAGGCCTCTACTTTTTTTCCATTTTCCTTCCATGTGTGGGACGAGTTCAGCCTGAGTCACTTTATCTTCCTGCAACACCAGGTGGGGGCTAATCTGGTGCCATTTACTTTCCACCCCTGGCTCGTGGAAGAAGAGGGAGGTTTAATAGCAGTTGACTCCATATTTTGGAGCCATGTGGGCGCAGGGCACAAACACTCTGTCATGGCTCTTTTAAGCACGTCTTCCTGCAGCTTGCAAGATAGGAAAAGGAAAAAAAATATCAGGGTGGAGGGGTCAAGTAGATAATGGCTAACAATAATGTGACTGATGTCTGTTGTTAGCGCTCTGCATTTACAATTCAGCCAAGGCCACACACACACGTCAAAGTGAGGCTACTGATGACACCTGAGAATAAACATAGCTCCAAATCAATAAGCTTCCCTTCCATTCACTCTGAAGCTGATCAGTATTGTTATAATAATACTCTTTAGCTTGAAAACATATTGTTAGAGGGGATGCTGAGAAATTCATGACTGCACTTTACAACTTCAAAACACACATGCTTAATTATGAAGGGTTTAATTGAGTAGACGATGGTTGCATTTATATTACCAGATTTTTGGCCCCTCATGGACAAATATACATTCATTGACAGTAAAGTCATCGTCTTAACTATATAGATTATGTATTTGAAAAGTATGATCAGATGGGAAACTTGTGCAGAGATGTAAACATTGTGAAAAGGACTTACCAAGTTTGTCACATCTTGAATATCTTTCTCCTCAGCAACACTGAGTTTTTAAACAATAAAATGCATTACGGCTTTGACAAAATACAAAACAATAAGTGCAATACATTCATCAGTCATATACTATTGATACCGGAAAGTCCCTAATCCATTGGTTGGCAGCATGGACTCTATATAAAGATGGACAATGCTTCTCTACTTCCTCCGTTTGTAAATGTGCAAAACCACTAATGTCAGTATTTAATAGTGCATTATTCATCTATTTGAAGCTTTATGTGTTTTTCTTCACCCTTTAATGGAAACACACACTCTCTCCTGTGTATAACATGGGGTAATGACAATAGGTAGAGATTTAAGATGGAGGGTGACATGAATGAACAGGTGCAACTTAATAAATGTAATAAAGATAGTGTCCCGAAACAAACCCTTGTTTTAACCCATCAGTCGCATGTTTTCACTGCTGTGTCAAAGGGGAAAACGATTACGTGTCAGTTGAATGTGCAATGATCTTTTTAAAGGGCTCATAAATATTTGTCACAAATGTGTTTGTCTCACTCAGAAGCCCCTCGATTTAGAAAGACGCTTAAAATGATCTTTTTATAGACGAACTTGATTTTATTTCTGCTATAAGTGTCCCAAATCAATTACATGATGATTTTCATATTGTTTTATAAAAAAATAAAAGACAAACAAAAGTTATTGGGTTCTTGTTCCAGTTATTAAACTGTTCACATGAGAGACTGTGTGTTTGTGGGAGGGAGAGCTGACAACACTCACGATGAACATGATGCTTTTAGTCACTTAAAGTTTAGAATGAGCGCTGGTGACAATCAGTGTGCGTTGATCGGAGTGTCTGCACGTCTGTCATCGTACGCACCTGTGGCTGTGTTCTCGTTCGTCTGCCACGAGCGAGACGTGACCCCTTTCTGTCACTCAAACTTGCCAACGCAGAGCGAAATGCATTATCAGCCAGCCTCAGTCACTAAATGTGATGACATCAAAATAACCCAAGTGAAGATCATAATTAACCACCCGACACTGGAATGACTTCACTGTGACTTTGTTGAACCGTGTGATTCACCTGCAGCGTCTTCAGATTCGGCTCATTTGAATGTGTGGTGGTTAGTTTTCATCTTAGCTCAACATGTTCCTGCAAAAAATCAGCACCTGATCATCCATACTGGAGAGATTTGATTATAATAACCCAATTTACATTCAACAGTAAAACACCAGATAATTTGATTCTACAATGAGGAGACTTTTGTTCATTTCCATGTCTGTGACCTTTACTTTCTTTCGAATTATGATTTCTTGCACTACTTTTAATAATGTAGACAAGAGATGGAAAACAAAGTTGCTTTGTGCTTTTCTAGCTTTTCTTTGTCTGATAGCAGATATTGTGCCTTGGTGGCATTAGGCATCAGGCATCTCCATGTTGCGTTATGAATCACAATAACGTGATCATTATCCAGATCTGCACAAAAATTCACCTGTAGATAGATAAAAGCAGGTACACACTTTTTATTTTTCTTAAAGTTCTCTGCACTACTACTTGAAAAATTTACAAAAACATGGAAGAAACGCTCTGTCTCTCAATGTTGAGAGAAAGTGGAAAAAAATCTTGGTTTTGCCTTTTGATCTTAATCCACACCAAAGTTTAAAGTTTAATTTCTGACCCTTAACGCATCTTTCTACTTAAAGGTAAAGTGTGTCGAATTTTGCATGTGTTGAAATTGCATGTTGCGGCCTCCGTAGAGAGGGTCCCCTCAATGTAAATATAAAGTATTTAAATATAAAGGGCCTTTTCTGGGGTAAAGAAAACTACAATTCATACAATTTAGATGAAACTATATAGTGAAAACATCATGAGGATTATTCAAATGCCCTTTAAGTTTTGCGTAAACAGGATCAGAGTCATACATGTCATATGTTTGTTTCTTTCACATGCATGACTGCGTGGATCATTAGGCATTTTAGTGCAAGTAAACAAGACAGCAACACTGTTCATACATTTTCACACTTCCTGTCTCCCCTGGCTGTTTGAATTTCCAGAGCCTGGCCTTGTATTATAGCTCCTACACTGATGAAATTATATTAGCCTGAGCACAATAACCCCGGGGCTGTCCAGACCATCAGTGTACTTTAATTTCTAAAATCCCTCAGCCTGGATTCATCGACAAACAGCACATTCACGTCGAGGGCGAGCAGCAGCAGCATCAGGCTGCTACAGATGTGATACAGCAGCAGCGACGTTCAAGAAGGCTTAGTGAGAGTAGTGTTTCTCTGCAGCTCTGTTTCCTCCTGAGAGAAAACCCTCCACATGATCTTTTGCTGCTTTCACCACTAATCATAGATGACTCACTTAATTAGTGCGGCATTCAAAGCCAGCAGAAACATCACATGATGTCACTCCTACATGTGAGCACAATAGGTGCCCTATTGATCTGGTTCATTTGTCTGTTTCTGCACACACCTGAACAATATGAGCCCAAAGTGACAAACTGGGATTTCACTATCAGAGAGAAACACTGTAAAATACACATTTACAGAGATGATTTGCCTTAACTCAAGATCTGAATCTCTCCCTCTCTTGAGGGGGGTATCATTTTTTTTGTTCTGCCACTTGTACCATTAGTTAGAGTAATGCATTACAGGGAATGACACACTTCCACAAAAAATGTTATAAAGCTGCACTAAATTCACTCACTCATAAATGTCAGTTCCCTAAATAGGCCTGATTTATTGAATCAAGATATTTTCATTATAATTGAGGGAAGAACTCATTAGATATTAATGCAGATTGTTTCCATCTCTTTAACATTGTGAATTGTGTGTTGTTGTTGATTTCACATTTTCATTGGTTTTCCAGTGAATAATTATGGATCTTGAACGATTATCTCTGAGTGTGTGTAATTTGCTGCAGCCTTATTAAATCTAAGGGCCTATTGGGCCTTGGTGGAGTGATGTGCTCTCCTGAGTGACATTCTAGTTCCCTGGGGAATTGCCGTCAATTTTACTTTGGTCCTAGTGTCTTTAACCTCAGTCTCTATTAGTTACTCAGTTCACGTGGGGTATTCAGCTGTGACAAGTCAATATGCATGAAAGTGTTTCATTCAAGAGGCCTCCGCAAAAGCTGCTGAGCTCCTTTTATTTCCCCACAACACAACAGTCTGCCGACAATAGTCGATATCAAGGTGAACATCCGCAATCAGAAACGATGTGTGTGGCTGCTTACACGTGAAATGCTTTCACGTGCCCGCGTCTCCCTCAAGGATCCAGGGAGAAAAGAAAAGGCAGTGGTTCAGTGAAGGCTGCTTCAGTGTGAAAACATTACTGTGACCAGTAATCATGTTTAATACACACGACTCACAGCCATCTTTTATATTTACAGAGGCTGAGCTGCTCTCTGTCCACTTTTCATTGTGCTCTTATCTTCCTGGGGTTTTGTATATTCATAAAGAGTGAGACAGAAATTAGGATGCACTCACACACACCAGCACCATCTGCTAACCTTCAGAGGTTGCTCTGTTTTGCGCCTCTCGGTGTCACAGCAGCCATATCACAAGAGAAGGGGATCGTAATGACAGCAGAGGGACATTTTCTGAATCACTGACAGATGAAACGGTTGGAAACTGTGTCATCGCCAGTCAACGTCATTCGTGCTGCTGATTAGTTTGAGTGTGTGTATCTGATTCATGTGTGCGACTTTAGGATCTGTCTTACACACACTGAGCTGGTGATGATATTTACACTGACATTCAATGCAACAGTAGAATAACCTGAACTCTGGATGGACAATATTACAAACTTTAACAAATGAAATCTCAAGCAGGAGATGAAATAATATACTTCTGCCCACATCATATTATTACAGTGTGTTGTAAGTTTTTATTCTGGAACAGAGGACAAGATGGTGAATAGTTAAGTTGCCAACCACCAGTAGATGTTAGGGACATATTTTCAGTTGTGTACCTTAGCGTCAACAGGGGTTTCGACCTTTTAATCACAAGACACCCTCCTCTAAGGGTTTGAGTGAAGTTTAAATATTTTCCTCTAATGCTGGATGACAGCAGAACAAATGTATAACTAGTGATCCTCATGTTTTCACCCCTGTCCATTTGTGAGACGAGCCGTCCTCATTGAACTTTCACTTCCGGTTTTATTTTGTATTTCACTCTGTTCATGGTCTCCAGCTTCACTTCCTCCCAGTCCCATTGTTCAGTCCCCCCCCACTACATTTAACACACCTGCACCTCATCACCTGCTCACACACACACACACTCCCCTGCCATATTGTCTCTGTGCTTCATGTCTTTGCGTCGCCCCACCCTGTGACACCATTGCCTGCTGTTCTTTCTGAGACTCCCTCTG